CTCTACCACTTGAGCCACAGAGCCACTTTGGGTTTTCTGGTAGTTAACTGGAGGTAAGAGCCTCATGGACTTTCATGCCCAGGCTTGCTTTTTTGTGTTGTTGTTGGCTGTGGGGCTTGAACTCTGGGCCTGGGCACTGTCCCTGAGCTCTTCAGCTAGAGACACAGCACCACTTCCCATTGGAACAGTGATCCTTACATCTTAGCCTCCTAAGTAGATAGCATTACAGGTGTGAGCCACAGGGTGCCTGGCAAAGAGGTGTGGGGTTTTTTTTTTTTTTTGAACACCAAACAATTTTACTTTGCAAGAAGACAGCCTCCTGTCCTCTATATAATGATCTGAGTATTCATTCCTGTTCCAAGTCACAAATCAGTGACTTGCTGCCAGATACAATTTCTGGCTAGTTTATGCTTAGTAACTAATATAAGGTGCATATTTATCAATCTCGCACATAAATCTGTCTTAAAAGAGTCCCAGTGTTGAAGAACCAACTTCCTATGTGTCTTCTTATCAGCAGACTACAAGTCTCTAAGCCTCCTTTAAGGTATAGCTTTTAGTCAATTATTTTATTCACAACCTGAAACGGACCTACTTAGATGACATTTTATTAGTCTGAAGCCCAAAAGACTGTTGGTAATAACCTTTCCACAGATCTAAACACCTCCCCCCCCTTCAAACTAAGAACTAGACTCTTGCCAATTATTTGAAAAAAAAGCAATCATTAAAAAAGCTTAATACTGGGCTGGGAATGTGGCCTTAAGCCTCAGGTTGGATTCCTCAATACCACAAAAGCAGAAAAAGCCAGAAGTGGAGCTGTGGCTCAAGTGGTAGAGTGCTTGCCTTGAGCTGAAGAGCTCAGGGGCAGTGCCCAGGCCCAGAGTTCAAGAGTTCACAACTGATTAAAAAAAAAAAGCAGCTTAATACCCATGGCTCACAAACTATGTAAAAACAAAAGACATATACGTGATATAAATGTCACTGGTCTTTTAGTATTCTAGAATTGCCTCTCTATACTAGGAAGTAAGCAAGAGCTTTAACTCGTAATGCTGACCTGCAAGCGAAGTTCAAACTTTGAGCACTCTAAAGCTTCATGAAAAAGAACATCTGCAGAACTAAGTCAGTACACTGGAGCTCTAGTGGTTAGCATGCTAGAGATCACATAAGAAATCTCCCAATGGCTAAAAATAGCCAGCCACCTTAAGAAATCATCTCTATGTGAACAACTACCAAGTTGGAGATGATTAGGGTGTACTTTCAGAGACAGCGTAATAGTAGCTAAACCCAAATTCCATCCAGAATAGGAAAACTGAGTTCAAATCCTACTTCTGCTACTTACCAACAATGCCTACATGTCCATCTCTCTACCTACCTTTTTTTTTTGTCTAACATAGGGCTTGAACTCAGGGTCTGGGTGCTGTCCCTGAGCTTTTCTGCTCAAGGCAAAAACTACTACTTTGGGCCACAGCTCCACTTCTGGTTTTCTGATGGTTCCTTGGCGACAGAGTCTCATAGGTACTTTTTTTTTTTGCCCTAGCTGGCTTTGAACCATGATCCTCACATCTCAGCTAGGATTACAGGTGTGAGCCACTAGTGCCCAGCCACATAGGTCAAGTGAATTAGTTTATTCCAAGCACTTGCAACAGACCCTGGGTAAATATTTGTTAGCTACATCTATTACCACTGAGTAAAGAAAATCAGCGATGATTAGTTATACATACATGGAATATCTCAAAGGAAGAACCATGAAACTGAGATTAAACTGACAAACCTGTTTTATTCTAATAAACTCAGGTAGGTGCAAGGCCAGGCAGGAAAAGGAGTCAGCAACTCAAGGTAACAAAATGTGACAGAGTCTGACATCTAAAAGTGGTGACTAATAGTCAGCAGCTGATTGTTATTTATGTGTGAATACAGGCCCCTGTAAGTAGCTGAAGTTCGGATCTTAAAAACATAACAATCTGGATTCTTAAATCATTTAGAGGAGTATTAGGAATCAAACATAGGTAGGCACTTAAGATTGCTAACAAGCAACATCCTGATCCATCACCCAATTTTTGCCAAGATAAAAGATGTATGCCCAGGCAAGCCAGGTGTGGTGATAGAAGCCTACACTCCCAGCAAATGGAAGGTAAAGCAAGGCCACTAAATTTGAGGCTATCTTGATAGTGAGAATCTTGAGACACATGTCCTACTGAAAAGTAAAGTCTTACTAGTTCGCAGAAGTCTTTTATGAGTTGAATATGGATCAATTCCCAACAGCTAATAAAACAGTAATTTGTACAGGGTAGCCAATAAACTCCTCACATGGAGTCCAATTACTTTTTTAGCCAACACATCAAACAATGGAATAATTCAATGAATTCCTTTCTCTGAATTCCTAGATTGCATTGTCTAACAAAGTGCAAGTATGTTTTTTCATCTCTAAGGGTCCAATCTTTAGATTTTGTTGCATACTCAAAATAGGCTTTGACTGTCCTGCTTCTGAAATGCAGGGACTATAGGCACACATAACCACACAATTATTTAATTTTTTAAAAGTACAATAAATTCTAAAGGGGAAACTTGTTAAAAGAAATAATTCTTCTGGGCACTGGTGGCTCATGCCTGGAATCCTAGTTACTCAGATTGAGATCCGAGGATTGCAGTTCAAAGCCAATCCACGGCAGGAAAGTTGGTGAGGCTATGTCCAATTAACCACTAAAAAGCTGAAAGTGGAGCTTTGGCTCAAAGGGTAGAGAGCTAGCCTTGAGCAAAAGCAGCTCAGGGAGCTGAGTTCAAGCCCTAGGACTGGCACAAAAAAAAAATGGTAACTTCCAACCAGGCTGTAGGACTACTGGTGATTCCAACTACCACAACAAATAAAGTTTTATATTCTAATTAAACATGAACGTAGATAACTAAATCTCCATATCTTAACTATCAAATTATTTCATTTAAGTCTCACAATTAAAACAGCATGTTTAGAAGTGAAACACATTAACCAGTTAACAAAATAGGCTAGTCCAAAGGATGCTCAAAAAGGAATTTACATTTAAAACTGTCCTAAAGGATAAGTTGATTCAAAGAGCAGAGATACTCAATGAATGGCATTTAAGGAAAATTTAGTAATTTTCTTTACTCATGCCAGATAACTTTCTTCCACAAAATATTTAAGTGGCTGGGAAAGTGGCTCAGTGGTAGAGTGCTTGCCTCACATGCATGAGGCCCTGGGTTCAATTCCTCACACCACATAAGCAGAAAAAAGCTGGAAGTGGTGCTCTGGCTCAAGTGGTAGAGTGCTAGCCTTGAACTGAAGAGCTGAGGGACAGCTCCCAGGCCCAGAGTTCAGGCCCCACAACCAACCAAAAAATAAATAACAATAATAATAAATAAAATACAGAAAAACAAGGCAAATGTTAAACTCCCTTAAATACATTAAAAAAACTACATAACAAGACACCAACCAATTTTATTATCAGATATGTCTAACAGCATTGGATCAGAGGTTAAAAGCAGTGGTTCAGGAAGGGTACAGTGAACAGACCACTCTCACCATCAGGTGGGATTGTTAAAATGTACACAGATGTAATGAGTCCAGACCACCCAAGGCACAACTCAAGAATCTGCATTTTCAACACTCTTATATTAAACCCCATCGGGTTAAAGGTTAGGTGAATACTGAGCACGTTAAGATGGAAACAGCAACTAAATCATGATTAACTCCAGAGTTTAAAAGCAGTAAACCAACCCCATCTGTCCCTTCCTCACTAGCAACTCATCCTAAGAAATTTTGAAAAATGCAGTCAATGATACAGTTGCCTGCAGAGTTTGAAAGAAACAAAATGTTTCCTATAACTACAAATGTGAAAAAGCAGACTTTCAAACGTTTGTAATCTCGTTTGAAGTGTTTCTTCAACACTGTGTGGTTGGATCAAAGAACATTTTTTTTCATCAATTATGTCTAAAAGCCTGGCTGTCTATTTGGTAGTGTTCATTTCACAAGCATTTTATGTGACTTTTCAGTGTTCCTTTAAATATCTAGCTGCTTCTAAAGCAAGGATGTAAGAAAGAAAAATGCTGAAATGGCGCCAAGTATCACAGCTGTACGGCCAAGATTGCTGCTGGCACTCGCGGTGCTCTACACCCATGCAAGTGCACTAGCCTTGGCAGCCATCTTGAAAAGGATGCCCGGCTCACAAGGGAGCCCAAGGAGAGTGCAGCCAGGGACGGACGGCACATTACCACTATCGCGAACAATTCAAAGGGTCAATCTGGAGATAGGGATGGTGACTGTCTCCAGACAAACACGATTAAGATTCCAAGGGCAGAGGCTACTTGAATAAGCTACATGGGTCAGGGCTTTAATAATAATAAAAAAAAAGAACGGATCTCATCAGGAGATAGAATAAGGAAGTAGAAGAAATAAAAATCGAAGCAGGAAAAGGATCATTTTCTTTCACCATTTACTCTATGGGGAAATAAAACAGGTCTCTCTGGTCACTGAAATCCTAACAGAAAATGTACTCGAGGCATTAAAAAAGACAGCATATTTGGAACGTTAAACAAAGGCAGTATATCCCAGAAATGACAAATCCTCACGTACAACTCACGTCAAATCATGGTACTTCCAAAGGGTAACAAGGTGAAAATAACCTGTACGTTAGTGATCAGAGCATATTGTCACATGCCAGTCGCAGTAAAGGATGACAAGGATACAACCGCGCTGGTCTGTACTTTGCCTCAACTGCCAGCAGGTATGGATCTCACGCGCTCCTTCCGCTAAAAACTGCTTTGTGCCAGAGGAAGCCTTGAAGGCTAGGTTTTAGATTGCAAAACAAAGACAATCTACAGATCCAGGAATCTCTCCGGTACTCAAAATTCTCCTTTTTGCTGGAGGCGGTGTCCGCCCTGCTGAAGGCGGCTGGGTGCCGACTCGCGCTGCCGCCAACCCGACCCCGCCGAGCCTCCGGCCCCGGCGCTCACAGGCAGGAGGCGGGACACCGGCAAGCATGCCATCTCACCTGTTGATGAAACCATATCCGTTCCTTACATTGAACCATTTTACTGTTCCCAAAACCTTCGTTGCTGGAAAACAAAGCAAAAAACAACCCTCAATTACTTACAATAGCTTGGCTTCGGTGCCTGGCCGGCTGACAGCCCTTTCTCTTCCCGGCCCAGTCGCGGCCGGGCCGCGACACCGCCCTCGCCGTACACGTGGGCGCCGGGAAGCCGCGCGCGGGGCGCCCCAGAGCAGGGCCCGGGGCGCGGGCCCAAGATGGGTGTGAGCACAGGCCGCGGGCGGGGAGCACGTGAGGGCAGGGGAAGCCGCCCGGCCCACTCCGTCCTGCGTAGGCGGCGCGCCGCGCCCT